ACACTTGTTATGAATGTGATTGCACATACCAGCCAGGATGTTAAACACGCCATATTAAGAAAAGCGCCAGTGGTTTTCATTTAGGGCTTCTGGTTACACTTCGATATTGAACCCTTTAAGCGTTTGGACTTTATTAAACTCATTTATAATCATGACCAAATGAGTCTTTACAGATGCCCCAGATGTATTTGAAATTTCACAATTTCCATTTCATACCCTCAGTTCGTGTTCAAATCACTTTTTTGCTTAGTCAGCCATCATCTTTGTGGGCGCTTATCTTTCCCTTTGGAGGTGTGAACAGAACCTTGGTTTATGAGTTTGCTGTTGTTCGTTGCTGCTTCAGACTGAAAGGCCCTCCCCTTCCATGGGTCTGCATGGGTGGTGCGGGTCAGTGTTACGGGCTCAGAGTAGCATGCAGTTCACAGGGGGAGGAGAGAACTGTCTCGGGCCGGGCATTCATGCTGGAGGCAGGCCTGTGTTCTGAGACGTGAGCCACCTGGGAGCCCCAGAAGCAAGTCCTGTTCCCCTAGAGCCGTGGTTCTCAACCTTCCTAATGCCGCGACCCTTAATAAAGTTCCTCATGTTGTGGTGACCCCCAATTTCATTGTTACAAATTGAACATAATTAAAGCATAGTGATTAATCACAAAACAATATGTAATTATATATGTGTTTTCCGATGGTCTTAGGCGACCCCTTATGAAAGGGTCGTTCGACCCCCAAAGGGGTCATGACCCACAGGTTGAGAACCGCTGCCCTAGTGCCTTGCAGGTCTCTCACGAACCCAGCAAAGTCATCCCAGGCAAAAGGAAAAGACTTATAAAAACAATGCAGTGAGAGTGATGTAAACTGTGGACTTGGGCGATTGCAATGTATCACTGTAGGTTCATCAGTTGTAACAAATGTACCCTCTGGTGATGGTGTTGACCACGGGGCGGGCTGTGCACGTGTGGGGACAGGGCGTATACACGGGAAATCTCTGTACCTTCCATGCAATTTTCCTGCGAACCTTAAACTGCTCTTAAAGAAATAAAGTCTCTAAAAATATATTGCAGTCCAGTATGAGGGGCGTGATGAACCCTTGTGTTGAAGGCATGTGATGTATTTTTTTAGGGTCAAAATGCACACGGGTTTTGGTGTTCACACATGGAGCTAGTATTGCCAAGTCACGTGGCTCTATGCCTTTAGGGATGGATGTAAAAGGAAAGTTGGATTCTTCAGGTGATTTTGAAATCCGCACAAAAACACTGCTTAAAAATCAAACCTTAGGATGTTCCCTCAAACACGTTGGCCTGATTTGTCATCAACTTACCTTTAAGGGATTTTTTTGTTTGTTTGTTTCCATAAAGCAGATGAGCCTTTATAATACAGTTACGGGGGCATTAAGATTTTATGACTGTATATACCGATACACAGTTGGTATCAGAAAAGCCTATTCCATTTCATCTGAGTTGAAGAATAAGGGATAGTGGAACTAAGTAAAAGGAAGGAGGCTGTTCAGCAACCACCTGTTGGCAAATGTGTTGCCACCATGATCTGCCTTTTCCCACGAGTGTGGCTTCAGGGCCATCACCGGCCAGTGATGGTCAGAGCTTCTCTGAAAATTCTTTCTGCCCTCAGCCCCAGGCCCCGCTCTCTGCTCAATGCCTCACCCCCCAGACCACCACCTCCTCTCCACCATCAGCCACAGATGTGGGCTTCCCCACGACTCGGCGGCTTGGGGTCCTTATTCACTGTGTTGCCTTCAGCTGTCAGCCACGTAGATGCCTCCCAAACCCCTCCGCAGTCCAAGCTGTCTTTACACCTCTACCTTGACCTTCCACTTGCTTGCCTGACACATCCACCTGGGAGGCCCACCAGCACATCCTCCTCCACTTGTCCAAACGGACCCCCTGTGGACACCACACAGAGGATCGTTTCTCCTGCAGCCTGTGTCCTTCCTGTGGACCGTGTTCCCAGGCTGCCAGTCCGCAGGTCCAGGTAAATTCTTTCTTGTCTCCTGGTCTCTTCCCTTCATTTCCCACAACCTACCAGACCTCCCTTTACATTTAGGGTTCTTTCTCTTGCAAGTACAGAAAAGTCAGGTCAACAATGCGCAAACAATGCAACGCATGTATGATATGATCTTACGTGTTCAGGACTGTTGACTTCTGCCATATGTGTGAAGGCATAGATAGATGCAAAAAAAAATAAAAATGACATTTTAAAGGGTGTCTGGTGGTTCCCACGCCTGGAAAGTCCGGAGGTGAGCACCGTGCCAGTGCGGAGATCTGACTTCTCTCTCCTGACTCTTCTACTCTCTCAGTTTCACCCTCTTAGACCCATGATGGTGTCAGCGTTGCCCAGGTGCCCTGGCTAATAACCTAGGGCCACCCTTGGCTCCCCTTCCTTCACACCTCATATTTAATCCCTCGGCCCTTTTCTTCAAAATGTATTGCAAATCCAACCAGGGAGAAACGCAGAAAAGGGAGCATCCGTCAGACTTGGTGACGTCAGAGAAAGGGAGCTGAGAAAAAGGTTAGCGATGATTCTCCCGGGGGAGGGGAGGAGAAATGGGGAGACCAGGGTTCCGTGGAGAGTTTTATGGGCGTGTGTACCAAATGCCTAGGGCCGAATCCGCGTGCTGCCTGAAGCATGGCCCTCCTTAGACTGCGATAAAACACGTGGATTTGATTTGTTTTTATACAACTTGAACGTGGATCCCACGAGAAGACTGTTTTCACTGTTACAAATGTGAAACCAATAATTTTCTTTTAACGTGCAAATATAGTATGAGCTCCGTTTTTCCTTACTTTCATTTCACTGTCATTGTGTTCGGAGGCGCCGTTACCGTTCACCATCCCTTCCAGCTAAGCAAGATTTAATTAAAGCCATCTCACACGAAGGCAGCCATTTAGAGGCAGCCTCTAAAAAGGGAGCTCTCAGACATTCAGCTGCCAGTCTTCTGTTCTAAGCAAAGTTGAACTATTAAATTTAGTAGGTTCTCTCTGGGAGTCAGGATTTGCTACGCAATGGCTTTATCCCCATTAATTTGGGATGACAGGGAACTTTTATGCATACTGTGTCTCTGTTTATTCGTGGGGGATATGTTCCAAAACCTGCAGGGGGTACCTGAAACCGGGTAGCCCGGAGCCCTGCATGATGCATATGCTTTCTCCTATCCACACACGGCTGTGATAAAATTTCATTTACACCTTAGGAATAGGAAGAGAGGAGCACAATCACGAAGACCAGCTATGCCAGTGTAGTCTAATGCAAGTTATGAGGATGTGGCCTCTCGCAAACTCTCTTACTGTCCTGCACCCATCCTCCCTCTATTTCTTCCTTCAGATCATCCGTTCTGAACCCCAGGTCTTTGTACAGGCCTCCCTCAGGGTCTTTCTCCCTCAGGTAACCCGCGTGGAAATGGGTCTCTGGAAACACACGAGCCTTCTCTCCATGTCCCTCTGGGCCTTCCAGGCACGTCTGGGTCCGAGACTTCCGTGGAAGGTGGGGGGCTCCCAGGCAGGGGGGAAGGAGTATTCTGGAGTCGGTGGTGGGGCTTTGTGCTGCCTGTAGATTATACTGTGCAGGGAGAGCCTGGTTCTTCTTAGGAAAAAACATGGGTGTGAGATTTTGGAGGCATAGAGTAGAAATAGTGTTAGCTGGAGACATACGATCGTGTGGCTGGGTTAGTGGGGATAGAAAGGACAAATACAGGGAAACAAACTGTCCCTCCAAAGGGATTTGATAAGTATGTGGAGCTGGATTAAGAAAAGGGGGAAAGAGAGATGAAAGACCCGGAATGTTTGAATGATTAAGTAGGGAATGAGAATGTTTCTCTTCCCTTTGAAACACTGTATCCATAAAACACGCCCGCCAGCCTCTTCCTTTAGTAACTTCTCCTGGCTCCAGTGCATGAAGGATGGCTTTGCGCCTGGGGAGAGGCAGCGGGTGAGACTGATTTGTGCATCACGGTGCTGCCTTATGACTCATCCTTAGAATGTGGCCGTGGACATGCTTTCAGC